TGGAACCCAGGGCTTGGGTCTCAATGGAACCCAGGCAGCCTGGGTTTCCCAGGCGTCTTGGGTTCGATCGAACCCAAGCTCTGGGTTCGAAACCCAGGCAAGGCTCTGGGTTTCGAACGAACCCAGGAGAAAAAATAAAAAAAAAAAATTCTCTTTTTTTTTTCTGTGGATTTGGTTGGTTGATGATGATGAAGAAGGCAAGGCTTGCTGAGGAACTGGAGAGCACTGTTGTTCAAGTTCGAATGGGTTTAGGGAAGAAAGGGGGAGAAGGGTTCAGGTTTTGCAAGAGGTGGGACTCACTTTTTTTTCTTGTTTGGTTTTGGGGCAGAATGGGTCATATCGCCCTGTCATCTTTTTTTTCCAGGTATGCGTTTGAGGTGTCACTTTATTGTTGACATGTCATCGTGCTTTTGTTAATCAAGGACACGTCACTAGATTTTTAACGGATTCCATTTTTATTAGGAGCCCGTGAAAGTAAACGTATAATAATAAAATTAAAGTAAAAAAATAGTTGATTATTTTAAAAAATAATAATAATTAATTTAAATAAATTTAAAATTAAAAAACGAAAAAAACATAAGGTCAAAAAATAAAAATTATTTTAAGACATAATAAATAGTACTTTTTCAATATATATATATTTTAAATTTACAGTAAGATTGACCTTCAGACACCTAGAGATTACAATAAGAAATAACCATATTTCCTTTTCCAAACCCCTTTCGGCTCCTTCCAAATTTTTAACTTGAGGTTTTTAAAATTGGAATTTAAGTTTCCAATTGCGAAGACATTTTAGAAAATGTCAAGTCGTAGGCTCTATATATGAGAGATTATACATTTGGGCACCCACAATCTCTTTCCATTTATCCCGTCTCCCCTCTTTATGTTTGCCCAGAAGCTCTTCATAGATTCTCTGCGGTCTTTGAGCACCCGTTTCCAACTTGCAACAAGTAAGCTTCTGCAATTTTCCTTAAACAAATACTTCAATTGTTCTCTCTACCGATCATCGAATGTTTATATAGTTTCTTAAATCACAAAGTAAATTAATTATTGAAAAAAAAAACCAGTAAAGAGATAATTTTATTAATTAGTAGTGTAAGAGATATTCCATTAAGAAATTAATTGAGGTTGAATCTATACCTTTCTTTCTTCAGGGGATGGCGGAAGCTTCTCAGTCAGCTGAAATTGGAACAGGTCACGATGCATCAATTACTACACAAAACGGCCGCGCAAGCAAGGGGCAGAAAATCCTCGAGGCGTCTCCCCAACCACTTGAGGTAAATAAAAAAGCCTACGATCCTTATATTGCTTCTCTTAAATAAAAAATTTTAAAATAAAAAATATAATGAAAAAATATGGGTTTAAAATACAAAAAAATAAAAAATCTATTCTATTTATAGTCTTTTTTTTATCAGCCAAAATTAAATATTATTAAAAGAGGTAGAATTCCTCAAGTTGTTACATGTTCGTTACAAAGGCTTAAAAACAGTCACAATACAATAAATACAGCATTATCTGCTATCAACACAAGCCAGTGGGAACTGAATCCAATAACTAAAAGTGAATTGTACATCTTCTGCTTTTCCTTTGAGCCACACATATGATTTAGAACATATGAAATCAAATATTCTACCTTCATCCTACTGTTCTTGTTTGAAGACAATCCCATTTCGTGCTGTCCAGAATAGACCAAAGTACCACAGAGAAAATTAACACTCCTTGTCCAGAATGTAAGGGCCAAACGTTCCATGCACAAACTGATAACATTTGTCATCAACAGCCCCAGGGCAAACCAAACATATGCCCCACCAGCTGCAGCATTTCTGCCGAATCTTGCTTGAAACTTTAGAACTTATTAGCAACAGATGGTTCCTTGATAATATCCGCTTCCACATGCAATAGGCCTCTTTTAACGAGATTATCCTTAGTTTGGATTTTGTTTAACATGATTCTCCAAATCAGAATACTAACCTTCGAAGGAATAAGTGCTCCAAATAACTTTGCAAATCATATTATCCAAGCAGCAGCTATGGGGCCATCATGTGCTTGTAAACTTCATTCCCAGTGCACCCTGAGCTTCTGTTCAATCGCCAGAGTTTTTTGTCGTCAGCAGCTACATCCATATGTGCATCAACCAGCATGGCTTGCAGTAAGCGAAGCTCTTCAGCTTCTCTGCCTCTCGGGTCTCTCCTCCTTTGGATATTCCGCGACCAAGAACTTCTATTCTAGCAGCCAGCCGCAGCTACTGTTAGTTTCCTGTTCACGCCCAATTCAAAAAGCATTGGAAATAAATCCAAAAAAGATTTATTACCAAGCCATATATCAGTTCAAACATAGTAACGATAGAGAAAGATGAGAATTTGACATGAAAATTTAAGATCGATAATGTAATATAAATTATATTATTAAATCAATTAATATAAATAATGTTATGGAATCTAAAACAACAAAAAAAAAAAAGTTAATTATTAAATAATATAAATTTTAACTTTTAATATTTTAAATGAAATGACTTATATTACATTATTAGTTTTAAATTTAGGTTTCAAAATTTTTAAATTTTTTAATTGGCTCATATCTTTTCAAATATGTTTGATTTAGCCCCAATCTTAATTTCATTTAAAAGGCACCTCAAAGGTTTTTGAATTTATTCACTTTAATCCCTCACTTTTAATTTGTTTTGATTTACTATATTTACTTCCAATGTCGTTCAATTGAGTCCGAAACTTAAAAAAATCTCTTAACCCCACCCATGATTTTCAAGCTGGGTGAATTATGGTTTTAAATAAAAACAAGCTGAAATAAACTTCCTAATATTTTAAAATATGGAATCATATTTTACACAGACAAAATATTGTGAGGTGTGCTAAAGCCCTTCTTCACTCCTAATTGCACTCTTGAAACCCGGTTTCTTGTAGATCAATGATGATCTACTTCTTATTTATTTGAGTAAGTGGTGACTATGATCTTTCCAACCATTAAAAGTTAATTTTTCAATTCACTTTGAAATTTTAAGTTGGGCATCAACAATTTCATTCTTATATATCTTTGTTGTAGAGTGAAGGTTTAAAACATTTTTATCTAGTCTTTGATTAATTTTTTATGAATGATGAATTGATATACTTGTAAGTGGCAACGTGAATTTGAATTTGGATTTGGATTTAAATGAAAAAGAAAGTATAATGAAATGGAGTAACGGCGAAGGAAACTAAATAAATAAAGACTAAAGAAAATAGAGAGAAAGAAGGTAAAATTTTTTTAGAGAAAATGAAAAAGAAAAAGAGTAAAAGGAAAAGACAAAGAAAATGGAAAAAGGAAGGAGAAACGTGAGAGGTGGGGCACGAGTATAAAAAATAATAAATTGATTTTGTAATTTTTTTAAAAAAAATTGGTTGTTGATCAAAAGAAATTCTATAATTTTTTTTTTACATTTTCTTGTTAATAATTTTTTTTTTACATTTTCTTGTTAATTTTATTTATTTTTCCGAATTTTAAATTTATTTTCATAATATAGATTTTTTTGTGATTTTTAAACTATAATTTGTCTAGGGATGAACCAGCTTTGAAGTTTTTAGTTTGGTAAAAATAAAAATAGAAAAGGAAAGGAAAGGGAAGGGAGGGTTTTTAAAGGAGAAGAAAAAGATGAATGTTAACCTCATTTAAATAGATAAAAGTAAGGGTTATATATTTTTATTTAAATAAATTATTTTAAAAAATAAAATAAAATACTTAATTATGTATATTATAAATAAAAAAAAAAAAAAAGAAGCAAAAGAAAGGCTCAAAATTGAGCCAATCCCAAATTGGAAATTGGGGAGTGGAGGTGGTTCAGTCATCTCTCCTTCCTCTACTCTCTCGTGAAAAAATCCAAATAAGAGGAAGGAGAGACTTCCCTCTTTCTTCTAAATCCACAATGTCAACTCAACTTAAATATGGGAGGATGTATTGGGAATGATATGGACATATACGTAAAGGCAAAAGTTGCCCAAACATATGTTTGCCAACTAAATAATTTTTCCTTTTTATGGAAAATTTAATTAAAAATACTTCTAAAGCCTTGTTGGTATGCTCGTTTATTATTGGTAAATACCTACTTTTAATCCTTTACCTTAATAAATTTATAAGTTTTAGCTCATCATCTTATATTATGACATTTTTAACTCTTTACCTATACGAATTAAAAAAATTATCTTTATTTAATATTTTGTTAGTTGATTGTTAGTTTTGTTAGTTGATTGTTAGTTTTGTTAGTTGACTGTTAGCTAATAGCTATATTAGCTGATTATTAGCATTCCGTTATAGAAAATATGAAATTTAAATTCAATTTTATTTGTTAGTTTTGTTAGTAGAATGCTAATAATCAGTTAATAAAATTAATATTCACTAATAGTTAGTTAACGGAATTAATAATCAGTTAATAAAATTAATAAAACATTATAACTTGACGTTAAGTAAATATTATTTCCTTTAATTCATATATGTTATGGGTTAAAAGTGTCATAATATAAGGTGAGATATTAAAATTTATAAATTTGAGATATTAAAATTTATAAATTTATTAAGGTAAAGGGTTAAAAGTAAGTTTTTACTTTCATTTTTATGGGCAATTTGATGGGCATAAAACCAAATTTGCTTTTGATGTGTTTATTATCTAGATTGTGATACTAATATGCAAACAAATTATTTTTATAATTTTTTTTTATAATTTTCACATATCATTAAATAATTACATATATACATATAATATTATGGATCTCAATAGAATGAAAACATCCAATTATTAGGAAATATGTAAAATTATATGAAAAAATTGTACTAAAAAATTATATTCTAATCATTTTTCTCTTTAGATTTAATTTGAGAATATAAAAAAGTATTTTATAAATAGATTGTGTTGTTTTATAGTTTGATATAATTTGAATTATAAAATATTTTTTTATTATAAACCCAAAATTAAGAAAAATCAAAACATCTTGACAATTAAAATGTTACCAAAATCGAAAAAAGTAAAATCCCCATTATGAATCTACACACACAAAAGATTCATTAAAAATATTAAAATATTTAAATAATTTTATAACAACTCCTAATATTTAAAATATTAGGGCATCCCCATTTCACTTTTCCGTATAAATATTGCTTTTAATGTGCAGGCAAACTTCATGGTCACTTTTTCTTCTCAAATATCAATTTTTTACTGAAAAAATCCGTCGTCCTTGGTTCCAACAAAATAATAGAGCAGATCTGTACGTCCAATTTCATGGAACTGTAATTTTCTTTTAGTTATAAGCTAATGAGAATATTACATATATATCTCAACTCTATAAAAAAATATTTTGAATTTTAAAAATATCATTTTTAATAAATATTTTGAAAAGCAACCGTTTGTTTTAGTGTACTCTTCATTTAAATTATGCATACTAATTTTTAAATTGATATAATATTGATAACCATTCAATTAAAAAACTTGTATATTTTAACATATATTTAACAATGTTAAATTTTATATAATCAATAAACTAGTTAAATATATTCATTCAATTAAAAAATTGACATGCATAATTTACGTAAATAAAAAATTAAATCTGATTTTCCAAAAACATTCATTGAAATATGGTATTTTTGAAGTTGAAACACTAATTTTTTATAGAAGTTGGAACTGATATGCAAAAAGCACCC